AATACACATCACAGTGTCAACGCTACTATTTTGTTACGTTTTGTTCCAAAAATGTTGGATGTCTCTGGGGAATTGCTTGTTATGCCTTTAATTATGGAGTTGTATGGTTTGATCGTGTTTCATTCTCAGTTTATTCTGAACTTGCCAAAATTAAAAAAGGCAAAAGAGTTTGGGTGTTCTTAACAAGATTTCAGAACGTTGAAGAAGTTAGAAAATTCATTCAATGTGAAGTTAGAAAATCTACAATTCCATTGTGACAGCATGCCCTAATTCAGAACTACGAACGATCCATGACGATCCTTCGCGATGCAGTGGTCTCATGAACTAAGGAAACGTATTCGTGCCGGGAACACATGCGGATTTCGAACGAATAAGTCTTGCTTTTATTTTGTAGATAATAATACTTTGTTTCATAATAAACGATTTGTCAAGTGCCATTTATTTACTGGTAATAGTGCATGTTTCAGTCGGGCAAATTTTGATTAATATTTGATACGCCGTTTTTGCATATTTCAGACACATCCAGAAATATGCTCCCGATTTTAAACATTAATATCTTTGTGAATTTTTAAGTGAAATACAACTGTGATATTTCAAAATCTAAGTTAGTCCTTCCTCTATTTGATGCAAGTTAATTCTCATTAAAAGCTTTACTTGTTTAGAAGTTATTACGAATCAAACCGGAGTACTTTTTTTGGGGACACCCGGTATTGATATGGAAATAAAATCCTTAAAAAGATATAAATTTAAGGCGTCATTAAAAAAATCACTCCATCAATCGTACCTTTGACGAATCTGGTCTTGTAGACATCTTTGATGATACAATATTTATACTTCCATGTAAATAACTTAATATTTATGTGTGTGTCGTCTGTTTTTTGTCTTCTATGATAACGTTTTGATGTATTAGTGAGCTAAGTCTTTTTCTTTTTCTTTTTCTATTGTATTTCTTATCTGCCGTCTTGTTTTGTCTCCAACTAGAGTCACATGTGCTACCTAAATTTATTAGCTTTTATATAGTTATTATAGGTAGCCTTTACTCCAATTTCTGTATTTGTAATTGTTGTTGTGTTTTTCAAATTCGCACTATGTAATGAAAGAGTATAAAAATAAATTATCTTATCTTAATTATCTGCTAGTGAATTCAGCGCAATATGCTTTGCGTGCGGTGGTTTCCTTCTCTGTCTGCTGGCATTTCATAATCAAGTGCGGCGGTAAATAAACTAAGTGTGTCACATGCAGTCATATCAAAACTGACAAAAAGAATCGCCGCGCAATTACAAAACATGTTTTACTTCGTAATATGTAGTGCTACAACGATGTTCATTCTTTGTTTTATTAACTGTGGTTAGTTAAAAATCAAAATACGTTGCATATAATATTTTATACTATCTTTGAATTGCGCACCCCCCCTGTAAATTATTATTATGTATATCTCCTGTGGTGCAAAAAATGCTCTAATTTGCATAAATTATGCACGGTTCCAGGTTCCGGTTCCTGTATCGCTGTATCGCTTTTTAGTAGTAGCCAAACGATTGAGCAGAATTTGATTTTCATTTTCTTGTCTGCTGATGACAGCCGCGTCGTCTGCAAATTGAAACCAATGGATAGGGTTGCACGGAATACCAGTTTTATTCAATTTCCAAAAGCCAAGCTGGGCGTATTTCTCAGATTTTATGTGCTGAACGAATGTGTTAAAGGACATATTGAATAAGAGAGGACTGAGACAGTCACCTTGTAAAACGCCACGTCCGATTGTGATAAAAGGAGCACTGAACTGTTCTGTTATAATGGATGTTTGGAAGTTTGTATAAAGACTGCGTATTAGGTTGTTTATTTGACCTGGGATGTGATGATACTAAAATACTTAGTGAATGAGATTATGATGGAGTTCACCGAAAGCATTCTTAAGATCAAGCAAAGTAATTACAACAGATCTTTGTTTTGTACGTACGGGCTGTATTGATTATATGCGCCATATGAGCAGTGTGTTCAAGAGTTCCTGCAACGTTAGGAGTAAAACCTTTCTGGTTTTATGTTCTATGTAACTGTTTTCAGCTAGGAAAGTGAATATTTTATTACGAAGACATGATGTAAATACTTTGAGTGGGACAGATTCTAGAGTTAGCGAGTCTGAAATTAGCGGGATTGTCAGTTTCTTCTTTTTTTGTGGATTAATATCGTACACGCTTTTTTCCATTCTGATGGAACAGAACCAGAGGACCAGGCAGCTTGGATAATTTCGGTTAAATAAGTTCTCAAATATGGGCAGCGTTTCAGACATATCACAGATATTTGGTCAAGAGGACACGGAGAACCAGACGGTTTCATCTTACGAATGATATTTGTAATCTCATTATAGGTTGGGGAGTCAAGATGTCGGGGAACTAAATTTAGGAATCCAGCTGGGAATGTTGAAAATTTTATTTGGAATAACTGCGGAAAATGTTCTTGTAAAATATGCTGTGCATTGTGCGAGATCAAATGTTGGTAGTGAATCTGACTTTTTCGTGAAAATGTTTTTAACATAACCCCGAAAGTTTTTATTGATTAACTCATTGTGATCAATTACATCTGACGTGTTGATATCAGCATGTTGTTGGTCAGTGTCAGCTCTACGTAGACGATTACGCAATTTTTTAGCAACAAATTTGATTTCCATTAGATTGCCATTGTCCGACTTTAATTTCTTTAAGACTTTTTTTAGATCTTTAGCTGAAGCTGATTTATATTTCGACTCAAATACTTTATTATTGTTGATATCAACAAACCCATAATTTTCACTGAAGTAATTGTATATTACTGTTGTCATGGTATTGATGCATTTACTGATTTCTTGCGTTGTAATTGGCTGGTTTGAAAGAGTGAATTGAAAAAAGTCGTTAGCATTTGACCACAGTATAGGAGATTTAGGCAGTTTTATTCCTTTTTTCAAATCAGGGTAGCTTTCTTGAGAATTTAAACACGAAATTACGTCCTCTACTGATTGAACGCTGTCCTCGCATACTTGGTCATTTAAAGCGTCTGTCATTTGTTGTTGTAATTCCTCCTCCATGCCATCAATTACTCTGCAACTACGCTGATGCATTTTTAAACCCTGAACGCCTTTACACACTTTACCATGCACAACAGCATTTGAGAGCTTTATACAAACTTGGTGGCAAACATTCTTGAGAGCGAATTTGAACAGCAGGGACTACATTTTCTTTGGACTGTTGGTTTAAATCGATTCTATCTTTACAACGCCACGTATGACGACCCAATGAAACAAATTCTTTTTCACAAAATCCACATAACATTAGGGTTGGAAATAGTGAAATCAAGCTTGCGCGAATCATATTCGATTAAATAAATGAACAAAACTCAAATTGTATAAAAATGTTTTCAATTCAAGTAGAATTTTTCACTAAAACAGATGACATATACAGACAACGTCTTGACGCGTCTGCTCGATGTTGATAATAATAATAATAATAATGGAAACTTTATTGAAATTATATATTATTACGTATATATACAATTATAAATCTCACTAATTTAGGTAATTTATAATTAACTACTTGAACCTACTTAATATTTATATATTAATAATGAGTATCCTTAAATGTTCAGTAATTCCGGATTTAACCAGTCCTTATCTCTGCAACAAAATATATAATATGTTGTCCTAATCGCGATAGACATAATTTTCCTGATAGCGAAATATTGGTGTCTTTTATCAAGACCTAGATCATTTAACATATCTAAAAAGGAATGACATTCTTTCGAGAAAACGCCTAAAGAACTAATTGACAAATTTACAAATTTTACGGACTTAAATTGTTTCTTTTGCTGTGTAATGAGATCTTCGTATCTTCTTCTTTTCCGATCAACATTTGTTTGTAGATTAGACTCATAACCAACAGAAAGTTCAAGGATATAGAGACAATCCGAGTTGATAGATAGAAGTAGGTCTGGGCGGAATGTGTCACCAGTTACAATTGATGGGCTTTTATAACCAGGAAGATCGACGAAAAGATTGGAGTTGTTTACAGGTTGTAGCGTTTGTGCTATAAAGTACAGAACAGAATCATGTCTCCATGTAAATCGCGGGAGGTACGTTTGACATCCAGCAACTACGTGTAAAAGGGTTTCACGGTTTAAGCAGAAGGAGCAATCAGAGTTGGACAATATTCCCCATTTAGTAAGGTTTTTACGAGTTGGAAGTGAGTTATTAATGTAACGAATGGTGAAGTTATAGATGTTCTTTGGGAGGTTTGATTGGGATTTAGACCATATGCCGTTTAATTTCGACAGTGAAAACTTAATGACATTTGAGAAGGAGCCTTGCAAAATCAGATGATTCTGCAGTTTGTCTTCTTGTCCGGAGGTAAAAGTTTTAAGGACTTCCTTTGTCGAGGTGTAGACGTCGTACTGAATGTTTTTGCTTTCAGATGTTGTTTTCTAGAGGTCTTTATTTTTATGGAATGATTTGGAGAGGTCTTTAAGGCGTTACGAGCAACTGTTTGGCACTGAACAAACTTAATTGACGGCGGGTAGATATACACCTATCGCGAAATCAATTAACGACGAGAGCAAATGCGCATGTCTTAACCGGAAGTGCGGTAAAATCTTGTCCGCGCACTTGTAACAATGTATGCAAATATATAGACGCGATTTATTACCCGAGTTTAACTTCGAAAAAAAGCTCTAAAAGGCAATGGAAAACGTTGAATATACTCTTGAGGACTTTGGTACATGGAAAGTGGTCGCTTTGAAAGAGTTCTTGTCAAAACGGGCATTAAAAATCGAGGGAAATAAAGCTACGTTAGTCGCTCGTGCCTTTGCTGCTTGGGAGATGCAAGTCCCTATTTCAAACACTTCAGTACAGCGTGAAGCTGAAATAAATGCAGCATATCAGACCCTCCTAACGGTGGATTTGGGTAGCTCTTCGGTAGTTCTACCTGATCCTTTAAAAGAAGTGTCTGCTTGGATAACAGAAAACGAAGGAATCAAGGACTGGCCTCCGATTTACTTTAATGACATCTGCGTGTTTATCCTAAGCAAGCACCCTGGTAAAGATGTTGGAATGCGTCAAAGGATGCTCAACGAGTATAAAGAAGGCAAAGCATTTCGTTATTTCGACAATAACTGGTTAAAAGAAGTTTTTTTTTACCCCATCAAGGACACAGGCTATTGCTTTTTGAAAGCGGATTGCACCCCTTCTATGCGCCTCAGTCATTTGCCACATCAAGTTTGGGTTTGTGCCCATAAAACAAAGGGTGATATAAAGTCTGCATATTGCACTTGTACTGCAGGGTGAGTAGAATTTATATTGACCTATATAATATAGGTTTTGTGCATAACAATAATGCAGCAATAGCAGTGGGCTATTCCATTTAACCCCCCCCCCCCTATTGATTAAAGCACTTAAGATTTACCCCTCAGAAAAAGATCAAAGTGCTGACATATACACCCCCTCAGAAAAGGCAGAATTGTTTTCCAAACCCTTCAGAAATTTTGGAGATCAAAGGATGCTGACAGAGTGAACCCCGCAGAAATTGCTTTCATGAGACCCCTAATCAATAGGGGGGATGGACATTAAATGGAATGCCCTAATATGGTTGTGTATAGAGATGTTTCTGGAGACAGTGTAAATTTTTTTTTGCATTCACAAAATGTTTCTGAAATGGTGTGTTTTCTATACTTTAGACTTGGCGAGACCTGTAACCATGTTGCTGCTCTGTTGTATCGAGTGGAAGCTGCAGCTAGACTTGGTGTGACAAATCAGCCAGCATGCACATCCCTTCCCTGCAAATGGACACCACCAAGCAAGAAGACAAACGTTAACCCCAAAATGGTATGTGAGATGGATTGGAAGAGAACTAAGCATGGGGAATTTGGTAATAAAACAACTAGTTCTTTTCTATTATTTTTTTACTTGTATTTCAAACCTAACCCTAAAACCCTAACCCCCAACCATGATTTTATGTCAGTATTTGTACCAAACCTGTTTTGCCAAAAACAGTCATTATGATTTAATACATTGGGTCTAATATTAAGTCCATCTTGTTTTAGAGAAAAGACCTCTTATTTCTACCAAGAAACAACTTTTTTCATTGATAAAAAAAAGTGGAACAGTGCAGTCAACTAAGGTTGCACATCAACAAGTGGTAGATGCCCTATCAGTTCTGCCTAATTCCTGCTTCATGCAAGTGGCTAATGCAATGAAAGAAGTGAACAACCCTCCACAAGCCAACACTGATAATACATTACCAACTGACCCTGAAAAAAGTGCTGGATCACACTTAAAAATGGATAACTTGGTAAAACCATACAAATTTCATGAGAGTGATGAAGAGTCCCATGTAAATACCAAAATTAAATCATTTGTAGGATCTATACCAATGCTGAGTCCTATGGAAGTGTCAGAAGTAGAACAAGCCACAGTAAGTCAATCAGATAGCACTGATTGGTTTGAGTTTAGGAAAGGTCGAATAACAGCCTCTAAATTCTATGCTGTTCATACGAAAGTCAAGTCGATTGAACAAGGACAATTGAACGGAGAGTTGGTTAATGTTCATAGCTTACTCTCAACAATAATGAACTACAAATCACTAAGTCATGATATCCCATCTCTTAAATATGGAAGAAATATGGAGGAAGAAGCAAAAGCATTCTACAATAACAAAATGAGGAAAGAGCACACAGATTTTGGATTTAGAGATTGTGGGCTTTTTCTTGATACGAATAAATCATATTTGGGAGCAACACCTGACCAGTTGGTACAATGCAAATGCTGTGGAGAGGGACTACTTGAAATTAAATGCCCTTACTCTATAAGACACACAAAGCCTGGTTCTGAAAACTTGGCCTTTATTACTTCTGATAAAGAAGCCAACCAGTGTCAGCTGAAAACCAATCATAGTTACTATGCACAAGTACAGGGACAAATGGCGATAACTCAGAGAAAATGGTGTGACTTTTTTGTATATACAGCACATGGATATTATATAGAAAGGATTGCTTTCAGTGAAGCATACTGGTTAGATATTTGTGAAAGCTTGGATTATTTTTGGATTAACCATTTGTCACAAGAACTTGTAACTGAAAAGTTATTAAAAGCAGTAGTACCAGTATAAAACATACATACATCTTTATGAGGTAGTATAAATCAAGCTTGTATTGCACTATTACTGTAAAAGTTTAGATCATTCAACATGGTCATACCCCTTTTAACCATTTTTTTATTTTCAATGATATTAATATGAAAATACATTTTTTGAAAGAATAAGGTGATAGAAAATGACCAATGAAAAAAATTTTACAAAATCATTAAGGCTAAAAATTCAAAAAGGTAGTCCTCGATTAACGCATAATTACTTACTGTAGCATCGTATTAAAACACCATATCTCATGAACTAATGATCAGAACATAATGATATATTTTTTAAATGCTCAGAACCTGAGCTAGTGCCTGACACTCTTTGATTTCTTTAAAAATGCTTTTTAAAAAATAGAGCAAATATTTGACTTTTTGAGTTTCTTATTAAATGCTTTTTAAAAAATAGAGCAAATATTTGACTTTTTGAGTTTCTTATTGAGTAATTTAAGACTTAATCTGTCAATAATTCATCAATCAGGAGAAATGTTGAAATTTAAAAAGTCTCAGGCACTAGTTTATGTTATGATCTGTATTAAACTATGCCAAACGTCAATCTTCTACAATAAATATTCACAAAGTTACAGTGTCACAAATATTTAGTGATACCGGTCAAATTATCAAAATGAGAAAATCCAGTTTGAAGTTTTCTAACACTGTCAACAGAATTTACAACAGCTTTAAATAGCACTTTCCATTTGGCACTGATGGACAAAATTCTAAATACATACAACTATTACTTTTTTGCAAGTTGTGGATACAAATTGCATAGTGCAGCGCAAATGAAAATGATATCATCAATCTGACTTATGAGGGTTAAAGGTAATTCATACTTTAAAATTCTGAATGACTTTAATCTTCTTATTGCCATTTCAACATATATTCTCCGGTTGGCTACCTCTTGCGTCTTTTTTACACCAGCTTTTGACATTTGCTCTGCTCCCCGCCTTCCAGGAGGTATGTGTAGCTCAGCTCTTCTTAACAATAGATCCTCACGTATCTGAAAACCTTTGTCTGCCATGACACTGTCATATGGTTCCACAATATCCAAGAAACCACAGTTTTTAGTCAGATGATTGTCTGAAGTTCTTCCCCCCCAGGCTTTCGAGACAAAATTGAAAAAGCCTGTGGGGAGAATAGACACCAGAATCTTAACAGTCTGATGTTGCTTGTAGTCTGACCATGTGAGAGCCTGCAGGTGAAGGTCTTTCGGCTTTTCAATAAAAATCTCAGTACAATCAATAATGTGTCGAACATTACGATACACTGGGGTTTTGAATGATTTCGGCAATGTTAATTGGACAGCTTCTTTTGGTGGGTTAAATAATAAGAGAGGGACTAAATCTGCAGACAGGAATGAAAACCAAGTAGTTAAAATTTTGGAAACTGTTGTTGTAGAAATGTGAAATCGATCACCAAGGTCTTGATTGAGTAAACCAAGTCGTAATTTCATCAAAGTTAATAAAAACTCGTTCTTACCATACAACTTTCGAGTACGGCCTGCCTTTTTCGGAGAAGCAGCAAAGTGCTTTACAGGAGATGATACTTTCGATGGTCCATGCCATCTCCTCAGTTTCCTCAGATTGGGTAGCAATAATCCATATAAACTATCAAATGCTTTCCTAGATGGAATTCCAGTGTAGAACTTCACCTTTTGATCTGTTACCAACATATGAGGACCAAATGAGAGGGTTTTTTTCTGAGCCAGATTTTTCTTATTAAGCCGACTAATTTCTTCATTTTTCTTTGTTAGCACATTCGTCATTTGCCTAATATTTTTCTTTTTGGAGCCGCAGTTCTTGCAGGATGTTGGCAAGTCTGCTTTGGAACCCGAATTTGCTTGTAATCCTTCCCGTCCCATATTAACAGGTGTTTGGGGTAATTCAATGGGGGGTATAGTCATCTGTTCAGGTACGCCAGTATTCTCTTCATGACCATCATTAGCTTGTGGTTTCTTCACTTTAGGTAAAACTGGGATGGAGTTTCTTTCAGCAGGCCGCTTTCTACTCTGGGGAATTTTGACATTCTGATGTCCAAGGTTTAATGTTGGATTGGGATTAGCTGTAGTAGGTTTCCGATCAACAAAATGACTGCTACACACCCGAGAATTCTTATTTGATTGCCAGACTTTCTTGCTGTTGTTTGAGTTCTTTCGGTTCACAAGTCGTGTCCACTGGTTTTTCGACTCTGGGTCAGTTTTTTCTCCAGGAAAAGGAAAAAGCTTGAATGGAGGTTCACAATTACATTCTTCAATGCTCGGCCTTGAACAAGGATGGCTGTTTAACCACTTTAGAAGTTGATAGTCGCTATTACTACAACCAATTATGCAACAATTCCTCTTCCCTCGTCCTATACTTTTGTTCATTGTTCTCTAATACAACAGACAAACAATATAATTAGTAATTGAACCAAAATAACACGGTTTAAGTCCTAGTTCGCTTGTGTAATATTATAGCCACGATCATTATATTCTTGAACTGTTGAAGGCCTTTCAAATACATGCAAATATGCGAGCAGAACGTAGAATTTATTACAATTCCTAGGCTAATTCTACATTAGAATGGATAAGAATACATACCTCGTATGATAATTTAAACCAAATAGCAAAAGGTTGAAGAAAATGCCAAGAAACACCCAAAATAAGACTCGAATACACTGAAATGCTATGACAACACACTAGTTTTACCGCACTTCCGGTTAAGACATGCGCAGTTGCTCTCGTCGTTAATTGATTTCGCGATAGGTGTATGTGAATAGGCAATTTTTCTGGGTACTGTCTACCTGAAATTTTTGTCAACATTTAAAGTTTTTTTTTGTCAACATTTTATCCCTCAGAGAGATTTCAAAAGAAATTTTAACTTTGAAATTTCCTAAGGGGGTGTTTATATGGAGGCGAGCCAGCCCAAGTTGATTTCATCCCATGTTTACAAGAGACTTTGGAGGTGGGCTAGCTGGCTTGCCAAAACAAATAGACTAGGCGAAAAATTCAAGAAGTCGTTTATTTAAAGTGCATGAGGCAATTCTTAGTAAAAGTTGGCGACAAGTGTCTTATGTAGTTTTCGATGCTGAATCAGAATTTCATGGTCGCCAACTCTGATTTTGCGTTTGGATCAAGATAATGACGTCATATTAATGACGTCATGAGATTGACACTAGAAATGACACTATCTTACTTTTTCGTGTCTATTTCGAAATTGCAAACGCTATTTTCTCCTTTGCGAGTTGTTAAAAAAGCTAATAGACCAGAAATAAGCATAAAGTTTACGAATAACACAAAATAGCCGATTAAACAATTAAATAAACAAATAATTTGAGTAAAAGCAGACTTTAATTTTACGTCGAGAAATGAAAGCTGATGAAACCGAATTATTTTTTAGTCTTTAAGAGTTTTGAACCTATGGCGATCGTGGCATAAGTATATTTGAAAACAGAACTGGAAATAGTTTTTGAAAAAAATATTTTAAAAAATTATAACCCAGACAAACAAGCGTCTGAAGTATAGTAAAGAATGGGTTTGTAGACTAGATATTGGCGCCGTCTTGGCGGCGCCTGTCTGATTTGTAAAATGTATTAAAAGGCTTTGCATTTTCTTCTTGATTTAATATATTTAACTGTTTGATGGCAATATAAATTTGCGAAGTCAGTTTTCTTAATTGCATGGGAAAAATTGGTTCAGTTTTGCTGTTATTGTTTGTTGCGGATCTTGTGGTGTTCAACTTTCGAGCCGCAAAGATGGATCACGTTTTAACGTTAAAAATATCTTCACAAATCGACGTGAATGCTTGTATTTTCTGCCAGACTAGTCTTAAAGATGAACATTTGAGAGCCGCTACTGATTATAGCAGAACGGTAGTTCGCGATGCCATGAATTTGCAGAGCAAGTTTAGAGATGTTGGGAACAGGGAAACAATCAGTAGGCTGGAAGAAGTCATTAATAGTATTGATACTTCAATCGTTTGGCATGTTAAATGCTATTCCATATTTACAAGCAAAGACAAAATTCAGCGCCTGGAGAAAAAGTGCAACAAAGATGAGGTGTCTGCAATACCAACCTGAAGTACGCGTAAAACGCGTGCGCAAACAGAACAAGTTGATTGGGATAAATGTGCTTTCTGTCAAGTTCATACGAATGAGCGCTTATCGTCAGTTAGGACATTTAAGATGAGTGAACAAATTATTGAGATTTCTAAGTTTGACAAAATACTGTGCACTCGATTTGCGGGTATCTCAGATTTTATAGCCGCTGAAGCCAAGTACCATTTATCATGCTTCAGTGCATCTAAAAGATCAAGGGATAAGACAAAGAGTGAAATGAAAGACAATGATTTAGCATTGGTTTGGTTGGCCAAAGAATTGGAGTATGCTGCTGACAAGGGCCATGTTATTAGACTTGATGACGCATGGGAAAGATACACTATATTAGCCGAAAAGCGGACAACACGCTTCTCTCTTCTTTTATCAGTCGAAGGGCGACTTTTAAGGACAAACTTATGCATATGGTTGGAGACATCATAGAGTGTGTGCAGTCATTTGAAAGGTGGCCGTCTGAGCGTTACACCTTGCTAATTCCCAAAAAGTGCGCTAAAATGGCTCTGTCCCAGTTAGTAGCCCAGGGTACGGCTGACGAAGAAGAAGATGAACTAACTCTGCCTGTTTATCACCAACAAGATGATTTCCTCTCTCTTGTTCATGTGGCGTTAATGATACGAGCTGATGTGCGGGAGACCCCAGGTTACAAGGGACTCGACATAGGCATGCACGATGTCGGTGATTGTGTTCCCGAAAGTCTGCAAATGTTTCTAAATCTTTTGTTTGGAGGTGAACGACTTTTAGATGAGGAAACGATTAAAGAAAAAGAAAATGACGTTCGCAGTAAAGCGCTTGCCGTTGCTCAAGATATTGTGTACGGGGCAAGCAACGGTAAGAAATGGACACCTAAGCACATTGGCTCAACGAATCTGCGCCTGCAAGGATTGTTCGCGACAATAAGGATGAAGAATCACTCATTTCCGTCTTCGAGCAGCATGATGTGTTTTCACCAACATCCCATCCAGAATGTCTTTTCAGCATCGCTATGAAAGATTTGGCCACCTTCGAGATTCAAGAATCACTGTTAGGCGTGAAAGATATGGGACAGAAACAAGTTAAAGACTTTGTACAGCAAAGGTTGACTGAACTACTTCAACAGCAACTTAATAACGAGCAAGGGGATACCAAGGTTCAATTTACGGTTACAATGCACAAGAACAATGCTCTTACTTTCGATTCGTTGTATCAAGTCGCCAAAGGGGGCAAAGAGAAAGAAAAGAACAGGATTTTACGTGCTGACAGGAGTGTTTTACAGCGTCTTATCGTTGGTTAGGGAGCTGGTCGAGAAGTAGATTTACATAATGTTTTGTCGCATGAGCTAATGTCCGTACCCATATCATTAGCGGATACGAATGGTAAACTTAGAACTGGCCAGAAAGCAGCGCTGGATCGAATAGTTTCCTCCGGAGTCCTACACGTAAACTTAAGTGACCATTCTCTTATCTACTGTGTTGTTAAAGCGGGCGTACGTAGAGCACCAGGAAGAGTCATAGAATACAGATCCTACAAGACTTATTCAAAGCCATCTTTCCTCGCCGATCTTGTGCATGTTAATTTCAACCTTATTGACAAAGAACAAGACATTAATGTCGCTGTAAGTAAATGGAATGAACTGTTCACAAATGTTGCCAATCTTCATGCTCCAAATAAGAAATTGAGAACAAAAGGAATCCAAACCCCATGGCTTACTACCGATTTAAGCAACGCAATGCAAGATCGCGACTACCACCATCGCAAAGCCGTTAAGTCAAATTCGCCCTTTCATTGGATGATGTACAAGAAGATTAAGTCTTACGTCAATATAAATGTTAAGAAATGCAAACTGAATACTACTCGAACCTGATCAATTCGAATAAAGGAAACACCTAGTGCTTTATGGAAAACGTTAAATGACATCTCGTCCCGAAAATCTAACTGCTCGCCATCTTGTATTGAAGCTAATGGTGTTTCTCATACCGACCCAAAGTCTATAGCTGAGTCATTAAACGACCATTTCTCAAGCATAGGATCCAAATTGGCATCTAAGATAAGAAATTTGTATCCAAATCGGATTTCTATCAAGCAACCTAGTCAGTTTAGGGAAAATGAATTTGTTTTCCAGCCAATTGAAGAAAGTTATGTGTATGTTGTTCAGAACAATCTTAAAACCAACAAAGCTGTAGAACTCGACAAAATCAGCGCTAGGTTACTTAAAGATTCTTCCAGTGTTGTAACTCCCATCCTAACCAAACTTTTCAATCGTTCACTCATTTCCTCGACATTTCCATAAACCTGGAAGTCTGGTAAAGTAACAGCGCTTTTTAAATCTGGAGACCAATCCAATGCTAGCAATTACAGACCAATCATGATACTCCCAACAATCAGTAAAGTTCTCGAGAAAGCAGTTCACTCCAAGTTTACTGCTACCTTATTGACAATAAAATACTAACACCACGACAGTTTGGTTTCAGACCTAAACTTTCCACTGAGATTGCGCTCGCACATTTCACGGACACCATTTTGGCTAACATGGACAAAGGTTTAGTAAGCGGAGCTGTTTTTCTTGACCTGGCTAAAGCCTTTGATACTGTCGACCGTTCTCTTTTATTTGAAAAGCTTGCCTCATCTGGTCTCTCCAATGATTCTGTCAACTGGTTCAAGTCATACCTAAGCATAGAAATCAACTTACCGCCCTGGCTAACACTGTTTCCTCCTTCAAACACGTTCCTGTTGGAGTTCCTCACGGTAGTGTTCTGGGTCCACTACTATTTCTTATTTTTGTTAATGATTTGCCTTATTGTATCAATCATTGTGAAATTTCCTTATACGCTGACGACACTGTGATATATTTTTCTTCAAACAATGCTTGCGATCTTGAAATGAAATTAAATTCCGATCTAAAACACTTATGCAGATGGTTTAACGACAATCTTCTGACACTTAATGTCTCCAAGTGTAAATTTGTAATTTACGGAAGTTCTCGCAAAGTTGCAAAATTTTACAATGTTTCCATCACGGTTAACGATTCCATACTTGATAGAATTGACTCCTTCAAATACTTAGGAGTTACAATTCATCAAAACTTAACCTGGTCAGAACATATCGACAACATCAGCAAGAAGTTTAATCAACGCCTTGGTCTCATTCGCCGCATAAAATTCTTACTCCCTATTCAAGCCAGACTCGCCCTCTACAACAGCCTAGTGCTCCCTCTATTGGACTACAGTGATATCGTGTGGGGAGATAAAAACAACTCCACTCTAATGAACCACCTTCAAGTTCTGCAACATAACGCTGCGAGACTTATCCTTGATCTTCCTCGCCATTCCTCCGCTACCGAAGCCCTTGAAACTCTAGAGTGGAAACCCCTTTACCTACGTCGAAAATACCACCGTTGTATCTCCGTCTTTAAATGTCTTAACCATCTAGTCCACTTTGATTTTAACCTTGCCATAATCTCCCGTATACATAGCCACAAAACACGCCAGAATAACAATTACTACCTTCCACGCCCACGTACGAATTGGTGAAAACAGCAATTCACTTATCACTCGGTATCGGAATGGAACTCTTTACCTATTGAACTGAAACAATCTACTAATCTTAATCTCTTTAAATCCAAACTAAAACAATTTATCTAATTAAGTTGAACAATATATCTAATTAAGTTGAGTTTTTTCTAACTATGAAGTATAATTATATATAATCCACTTGTAAATATTTTATAGTTTTTAAATAAGCATAGACGTATAGTTTACGAATAACATGTATAATATAGATATATATATTGCAGGACCTCCATGAAAAACACTTCGGTGAGTGGAGCTTCCTGAATAAATATTATTATTATTATTATTATTATTATTATCTTACCGCAAACTGCAAATTCTTCCAAGTTCTCCCACTGTATATCAACAAAGGAAGCACAATCATCAGCATAAGCCTCGAGAGCTTGACAATAACAAACAACAGGATCATCTTCACAAGCACACATATCATATTCACAATCAGCAATATGTCCTTCTTCAGTCGCATTTATATGGCTTGAACACTCATTAAAAGGAGGTCTGAGTAACGTTGAACAGTTGGCTTGTGCTATCCATCTTCTGTCTGAGTTGACAACACAGGGATGTTCTACTGCAATTGCATCATCACAGTCTGGATCAACTTTCCAAGAATTTCCAAATTCCACTGGATTAGTTACAATTGTACCATTAGATGCCCAGAAGTCGTCATCTTCCATGTCATTATATGTACCACATAAACCTGATGTTCTGTTTAAATACCGACCTCCAACTATCACTCGTACGTTATAGACATTGTTCCAGTGGACAGTTACACCATAGACGCTTGTTACTATTGTATTTATCCTATTTCCATTTCTACTTTCAGTGATGTTGACACCTTGTAAAAAAATAATATGTTAAAGGCGACTTTTTACGGAAAAACTAGTCTCACCGATCTATGAACGGTTGTGCAATATTGAAATAATATTTAAACTGCTATCGAAGCATTCAGGTGAGTATAAGTAAGCATGGTGTGTTGTAGCCTAATGGCAATCGTAAAAATCTTACTTTTCTGGTAACGAACTTTATAAAATAAAATATATATATAACGCGTGCTCTGATTGGTCGAAACCCGTGTTTGGATCAGGTCATACAAACACGGAAATTGAAAGAGAAAGTTTTTTAAAGTGAAATTTTAACACGGAAAGTTGTTATTTTATAAAACAATTACTTCATGGTTTCCGTGTTTGGATGACCTGATCCAAACACTTGGGAATGTTGCTCGAGTTCTGAAAAGCGCGCAAAATCACTCGCCTTCGGCTCGTGTATCAGAAATAGTGTACGAATTAGTGGACAAAGGACGGATAAGTGGTACAAGAAACTTAGCAAGTATATAAGCATGAGTTCCTATAGCAGAGGTAATAAGCCTTAATTGAAAATTAAGGCTTATTATATATATGAACTTTAGGTAAACCATATAGAACACCTGGCCGAGAACCAATGGGCGTAAGTTCATCATGCTGTTGTTCAGATATAAGTTCTTTATTCTTGAGTTCATTAAGGAGTTTACGAACTTTGTCTTCGCGTTTTACAGTTTCTTTATATATATTACATTTCTGCATTTTTAACTGTTCGAATTTAGTGTTATCCTTAAGAGTGTCAAACATTCTAGATTTGTGGTCGCTGCGGTTTATGATAACAATCCCATTTCCTTTATCCAGTTTCTACTCATTTGTTCTTTCAAATTATGTAATCATTTCTGTAATATTAAACCATTATTTTGTAAATATATGTACCATACCCTGTAAATTTATTTAGATTGCTGTGAAGATGTTGTATTGTAAACAACGAAACGTTAGCTAATAATTTGTTTTACTTTTATTATGTTTGGATTTAAAGTTATTTGCTAGGCTTTGCTCTTTATCTTTAAACTAAGATTTCCGTCTGGTGTATCAATTGCCACAGGGTTCTTTCTTACAATCGCCAAAAAGAATCAATATCCACAATCAATATGTATAGCTACAAAATCTAACACTGGATTATTCAGTAACGTTTCACTTCTCCATAACACTTCATTAAACAGCACGCAATGTATGTGAATTTAATTAAAGCAACATATGACGTTTGTTTTACCTCCATAATTAGCTGACATTGTGATTTCCACACCATTTACTAAAGTCTTTCCTCTTCGAAGTTCAATTGTTATATTTGGGAAGATTACTATTAATGATCTTGTGCATGTAGCTACTCCATTTCCACATGGTTCATTTGTTTGCCTTATTTCAAATGTGTTGTTTACACGGTCTTTAGCCAGAACATATTCGCATCTACCCATAAAGTCATAACGTCTTCCATCAAATGTCGAGTAATGTGGATCTCCCTGAGCTTTACATGTTGCTTCAACTAAAAGAAACACAAAAATAAATATCTATACCTGGAATATCATACAGCTTGAAATACGTGGACATCAGTGGCCCAGTCGTTACAGCAAGCGCCTTTCATTTCTGAGTGTGTGGGTTCGATTGTGGACTCATGTGAAAAGAGTCAACGTCAACGCCCTGCTGATAGCCGTGGCTTACAAGTATATCTGTATACACGTGACACGCGCGTGCGGGTATAAACAGCTGATATATTGAAAAATTAAAAACTTTCTACATAAGAACGCTTGAATACAAGGAGTATTTTACTCAGATCATCTTGAGACGAACGAAATACGGAATGTTTGGTCAAGGTTGAATAAATTTACGATTGTTTTTATTTCTGTCGATTGTATTGACTTCTATAATGGTTTGACGGCATACAAATCCCTTGTTGAAAAGATTTTTTAGTGAGGATTTCAAAAGGGTTTTGTTACATTAGAAACAATGTAGTCGTAAAATAGAAAATGGGCGCAGGTCGAGAAAGAATATCGTCGGAGACGTTAATCGTAATCGTTGTACTCTTTACTAGGCTTGTAAAGAGTACAACGATTTGGACTATAATACTAGATCCATTGAACAGTTAGGAACTTTATAAATGAACTTCTCAAATCTCTATCTTTATAATACTCTACCGTATATTTAAAATATAACTTACAACTCTTTGTATCTTTGTAAATATGTATAGTATCATGTATCCTATAGTCTCATAATTTTTCTGGTATATCATATACATCCATATACCAATATGTAAATGCTGCACGCACACTAGATATATTTTGTATACTTTGTATTTTAATGTTTTACAGGAACCATCTGAAAAACACCTCCTGTGATGTTGGTTTCCTGAATAGGTATTTTTGTCAATTCAATTAGTTCATTAAAAGACGACGTTATTAAATTATACGGACCTTTAGCTTGGCAATTTTCTCCTTCGTAATCGGGATGACAAACGCATTCATATGTATCTCCAGCCGAAACACAAATTTCATTTGCACCACAAGTTAACTGATCACAACTAGAAACTAAAAAAAATAAAACATTGCATGTAAGTGTCAAGTAGAACATTGAGGATATTACATATAGGTATATGTACCACAGAATACCACACAAATTTACATGTTCCCTATTTTTTGTCAAATGCATATGACATAGCCTGTTAAATTTTTTTAGTATAGTTTTGCATTATTTTTTTCTACATGTGGGGTCTTGGGGTTAGATTTGGCAGATTCTATTGTTATTTTAATCGGACATTCAGTGGATAAAATCATAATGTATGATACCATATGATACCAGTACGGCAATAAGTAACGAACGGTTTATCAAATTGTACGAGGACTTCGGCGCTGTTTATATGGTCTCGGGTACAATGAGGGACACTCTACCCTCCGAGACAACTTTACCGTGCGTTTATATGATAAAGGCATAACGCGGGGAATACTCCGTTTTTTGTTTGAAATGCTTCGTTTTTGTTTGTTTATGTTGTTTTTAATAAAAAGTTTCTATTGAGCATGCGTAGGTCTAAAAAGTTGCCCCTGGAGGCCGAGGCAAATCAACGCAAACTTTTTGCATGGACAAAAGTTGTCCCTCCTACAAGGGTAACCCTCTTTCGTAAACAGGGTGTCCCTACCACCAGGGTGAGCCTAGCAGCCGAGACGAGTTGAAAACTTTCCATATAAACACTTGCATTTAAATGTTATATAATGAATATAATTTTGCCTCTCCCAGGGTAGCTCGGGGGGTAGCTAAGGTGTCCCTAGTACCCGAGACCATATAAACAGCACCTTAGTGTGGCATGTTGTGTGATAACACACTGTACAGATATTTCTAACTTAGTATGGTGGAAGGTAAATAGGGCCTTTCAGAGGGGGGGGGGGAAACTGGGGGTAATTTGCCCCGGGCCCCTATTTTAAGGGAGCCACCAATTTTGCAAAAACTAAAAAAAAAATTTCGAACGTTTTTTATAGAAATAATGGTATGAGAAAACATTTCTAAAGCAAAATTTTACATTGATTGATCGAAAAAAAAGGGGTTGACCCATGTTGTAATAGGAATTTGTCCGGAAAAAATTTCTTTAAAACTTAGTTTAGGTAATGTTCCACCAGAAAATTTTTTTGACCCTATTTTAATGTCCGAAAAAAAAAATTCCCCCCCCCCCTCGCCAACATTTTCCGGAAAAATAGGGCCACCGAAACAAAAATTTGCCGCGGGCCCGCGAATTTCTCTGATATAGGCCCTGAAGGTAAATACTAAAATCACTACAGAATACCGGTGGTATGTACCACAGTATATTAGGTTTACCAATAATTTTGAAAAATTGAGTTTCTTATAGTAAATTTGATTACTCAGTGAGATTCCTAAATAGTAAAAATGTTGTATCGCTTAGAAAATCATGTTGGTTTGCAAACTTGTTTTAAAACTTTCTGATTTTACGAGAATTAATCAGAAAAAAGTACCAAAAATAAGGAATTTGATTTGTTGTTTATCTCGATTATTTTAAAGAATTTTATGAAAATATCCATTTTTCATTTATTAAGGATCATCAATTCTTAAGGTTCATCAAAATCTATTCTATTTCCAATAAAGTTCCATACAATTTGCAATCTATGACCTTATATAGACTTTCAAAATTTTTCCAGTGGATAAAAGTGAAAGAGCAAGAAAGTGTACGCAAGCTAAATTATGAAGTAATCAATAAAAGAACAACAGGATAGAAATACTACACAATTAAAATTTTAATTTAAAGTGCCTATATCACTTGTGGGACCTTTATGGATTTGAAAAGAGCGTAAAAAGTTAGTTAATAGGTTCAACAGATTTTTTTGATTTAGTGCAATAATTTCGAAAATACAGGCCTCCAAACTACATACAGTTCCTGAGTCCCAGGCTCCTATACACAATGGCAGTTTGGAAAAAGGCCAAATTCAATAGCCGTGTTTAGACCGCAGGAGGCTGGGACTCGGGAACAGTCCGTTGTTTCAATGCCTATATCCTCAAAACTATTGCACTAAAATTGAACTTATTATCTAACTTTTAACGCTTTTTCAAATCCAGAAAGGTACCACAAGTGATATAGGCACTGTACTTCAAATATAAAAACCACAACAGAAAAATTAGCAAACTAGCCTACTTTTAGAACTAAGTAAATAATTGACCACTTGCGTAATAGACTAAATTTGGGGTTGTAATCTAAAATGACTGAAAATTGCAAACTTCGCAAGGCTATATTTTCCGCATTTTACAACATTTTGCAACGAAACTTTGGAATATTATTAATTTTGTGATGCTCTTTCAACCTGTGATGAAATTTTTGTCTAGACTTGTTTAGATCAAAATTTAGTCTATTACGCAAATGGTCAATTACATGAAACATTTATTGTTTGTTATGAAATAAATTAAAATACCGTTCCGCAAAATTATTTCTGGGGAACAAATCAGAAAAGAGAAAATATTTAACATTTTAATGAATAAAACAAAACATCCAAATATCAGTTTAATTAAAATTCAGAAATAAAACTGTTTTTGGCCGGTTCACGGCTACTCTAATTTTAGTGCTGCAGTGTTTCTTTTACACGCACGTTTTCAAAATATATGGCTTCGTGTGTGACTTTATTGCTTTTAACAAAGTTGCTTTTTCTCGATATCTGCTTAGAATATAAACACAATGATGGAATGAATTTTTCAACAGACAATTAGAATTAGAAAATAGTATTTGATGAGGAAATGGCTGAGAAATTTGGTAAAATGGAATGTAAAACTATAATTGCTAGACTGCCTCGAAATCAAGTTTTAATACACTTTTCATAGTATGAAATTGAGACATCTATAGGATACAAAACAAAATGGTTTTAAAAGAATATCACGGCAAGGTTTTTCCCAACAGTCGGGAAAGTTTTTTCTCTTTGTTTGAAGGGAATTTTTTTGAGTTTTAAATAAGTTTTAAATTTTCTTTGAATATGCTTGACACAGTAAAATAATAAAGGAATCTTACCTTTCAAGTTCAGTGCAACATTTTCTGCTTCTTTCTGTTTCTGGGGACGACTTGTTTTCATAAATATTTTTTTTTAAATTTGCCAAATCATTCTTTTTGAAAAGAATAATTTACTAGTCTCGTGCTAAATAATGCGTCATAGTTACTAGTCAACTAGCCAATCAGAACGCGCGAAAGCTCATTTGGTATGCAAAATTTATACTAAACAGCAATATGCAAACATCAACAACTAAACAACACATCCAGTCCGTTCTTGAAAATAATGTTTGTACCTTCGATTTCGCAGCGATCACCATTATATCCAACACGACATGAGCAAGAGAATGACTGTCCATCATTTGAACATGTCCCACCATTGAAACATGGATCACTGGCACATGGTGAACCTAAATCAGATTAAAACAGTTAAAATTTCTGTTAATAAATGTTTAGCAATTCCACCCTAAGACATTCCCGTCGTAGTTTTCTTTAGTAGTAATATTTGGAGGAAATATTTTGAACAGGTCGTGGGTTAACACATCAGCAAACAACTCGTATATGACCATACAATTTGCGATGCATTTCAGATTACTAATGAACAACATCGCCATAAACCATTTCCTTATTGAAGTCATTCGAAAACTTGAGTTTCTTTGACGTCTTTAAATAGCCACGTATTTTCGTTCACGTAAAAGGTATCATCATTTTTCATTGCATCGAACAGTCTGGCACTGAGTTTGATACTCATGTATTTTACTCAGTATTTCACATGTGAAATTATGTGCAAAGAATTGGAACATTTCACGTTCTTCAAATGTGCATTCCATATGTGAAACTCGGAATTTCCGCATAATAATTATAAAATTTGAGTTTCCAAAGTTCCAAAATTTTCAATAGACTTGGCGATGAAATTCAACTAGATTGATCACTTACCACATTGTTTGTATCGTGGATCACTCAGCCAATCAATATCCACTCCAGTTGAATTACAATCACTGACATAGGCCTCTATTGCTTGACATAGACAAACTATAGGATCATCACCACAAGCACATACATCATACTCACAATCGGTAATATAACCCTCTGAATCTGGATTAATCTGGCTTGTACAGGTATTGAATGGAGAGGATGACAAAGCTGAACAGTTGGCTATAGCAGTCGCGTTTCTGTCAGAGTAAGTTACACATGGATGTTCTACATCTGTTGCATCATCACAACCAGGTTCAGTTTTCCAAGAATTTCCAAAGGTTACAGCATTGCCTACAGTTGTTCCATTTCTTGCCAAGAAATCATCTCCAGGATTTCCATTAAATGTTCCACATAAACCTGATGTTCTGTTGAGATAGCGTCCAAGCACTGTCACTCTCACATTACGTACATTATTCCATTCAACTTCTACACCATAATCACTTTCAATCAACGTTACTCTGTTGCTTGGTTCAGTTATTCTCACACCTTTATACAAAAAATAAAGGATCGATTTTGAATATTGCTATTAAATATTACCCACTTTCCGATTTATTAGCAAAATGACTGTCTGTAATAAGTTACTGTTCTAGTACATCAAGCAGCAGTTTGCAACAATGCCTCCACCAATGTTGCTCCAATACTAGAGAAAATGGTACTGACTTCTTTTAAAAATAAAAGGGGAATATGATGAACTTCCTTTTTAAAATTACTGTGTTTAGAAACAGAAGAATATTCCACTAAATTTGCAAAATGTATTTAGTTTGAAATCTTAGCTTGAACGTCAAATCTTAAAGCATGTATATTGTATATGTAGTATGCAGTTTGAAAGAACTTACCTCCATACGTTGCAGGTAAAACAATTGCTGTGTGGTTTACCATCACACTTCCCCGCAATAGTTGGATAGTCACATTTGGGAAAATCACTGTTAGAGATTTTGTGCAGGAAGGTTCTCCATTTCCACATGGTTCATTCACTTGTCTTACTTCAAATGTGTTATTTCTACTGTCTTTAGCGAGAACGTATTCACATGTACCCATAAAGTCATAACGTGTTCCATCAAATGTCGAATAGTGTGGATCACCTCTTGCCAGGCATGTTCTTTCAACTGTTAGGTTTTGTAAATAATTAAATTAAATTATGAATGATTAAAAGTTAATACTTTGCCGCTCAATTTTGGAAGCAAAGCACAACAATTTTGGAAGTTTCTTACGAAGTAGGAAAAAAATGTTGCTGACTAAGAGCAAAGAAAAAAAGGTCTAAAAATGAGATTTAGGTTAAAATAGGAAATAGGATTACGTGGGAAGCGCGTAAACAAGAACGTTTTGACGAACGATCTGACTGTTGACAGTTATGAATTTGTGTTAACCTCTTGAGCCATTCAAATGAGAGATCATATCTGATTTACTTTGCATGTTATACAACAGACGATGAATTTTCGTCGGCATAATAATATATTATTCATGTATAAAATCAATAAGCAAAAGGTTGTTTCTCGTGCATACACACAAACAACAGAGCAACGCATTTATTTACACCAAAAAATATAGAATACATGTTTCATTAAGCTGGCTCACATGTATCCAACACATCTTGAAAGAAGACATTAAAAACTTTTTCTTCACTTCGCTAATGTGGAAATAATATACAAAGCAGCAATTGCACACTTACCCAGACGGCAATCGGGTTCTGCATAATCATCCTTACAAACACACTTAAATATATCGTTCTCCTTGATACACTCTTCATTTTCTCCGCAGGAAAGAATACTGCAGTTGGAAGCTGAAATGATTTATCACAATTGTTAACATTATTATTGGTAATGAAAATTACTAATCAGGAAACTCTGAATTTGGGATATACCATATAGCCTAATAAGAATACAAGTGGACATGTTATCCAGGATCGGGACTTTACATGAAATAATTTGCAGGAAAGCACCTACTATATAACCGCAATGAAATTTTTGTAGAAGCCAGAGAAATTATGGAAGATTTACAATTTTCCTCAATAACGCAATTCATGGACAAACATAAGTTATTAAAAAAAATTTGCTAATGTTCTTCAAGAATTTTTCACATTTCAACTCGACATTCCAGCAAATATACTAAATATCGTTCATCACTATGTTTCAAACGAATGTACGTAAGGGAAAATTGAAATTCTCAACACAATTATGCCTTAGCAGTACAATTTAAGCAATACCTTTGTCAGGGAGGAAAGCCAGTTTTCATTAGGAGGAATTTTGCGCGCGGAGTGAAATTTTTCTTTGACTTGTGATTTCTCGGGTTGAACTAAGGTTTTCCACTAGGCAGAATTTTCTGCGCGGAGCAGAATTTCTCTGTGTCTTACGATTTCTCGGGTGGAACTAATTAGAAAAGACAAAGTGGAAAACGGCCTTAATTAGAAAAGATAAAGAAAAATTCCGCTTCGAGCGCAAAATTCTGTCTAATGGAAAACCGGCTTAAATAGTGGTGTTTGTATTTCTAGCTTCCGTGTCCTTCACCTCTACAGTTACGACCATCTCCTACAAATCCTTCATTACAAACACAATCAAATGAACCAGTTATATCAACGCAGGTAGCATTCTGGTGACAGGGATCGTTCAAACATTCATTAACATCTAAATGATTGAAAATAATTTGGAAGTCAAAATTAGGAAATAGGTAAATTATACCAACATTTTCAGCAAAAAAGGAAATGAAGGGCAATTAAGTCGGTTACTGTCCGAGGCACATCCTTGCAATTACTGAATACTTGTTAAAAGCAAAACCAAATGGAGACAAATCCAATAGCCCCAGCGTGGACAGTCTAAGTGGAATGGAGAGCCTGAAAACGGAGTTCTTACAGCGCAGAATGTAAAATTAACAAGGGTCTGTTGAAAAGTTCATAAAAACGATATTGCACTCACTGTTATTATGATTCTTTACAGAGTAAGATAAATTATATTAAACCTTCTAGCGTGTTTTGTAGACAGTGGCGAGCTAGCTATAGGAATTGGCAATGCCATGCAAATGCGATGCAATAAGATGGATGAGCATGCAGTTATGTCTGGCTTCGCAAATGTTTCTACAGTTACATTCTGGGAAATAACTGCCTAACACATTAACTAGGGATCCAAGGATAGTGTGAAGTTTCAAATTGAAAAAGACACTGCAAGAACTATATAGGGTCGCCGACAACCTAGAAAAGCTGATGGCTTACACTACGAAATAAACAGTTACCAAAGGCATTTCATCTCATTATTTATTGCTTTTAATACGCTCGGCACACGAGTGGCGTGACGTTTGAAACAAGCCTAACACATCAGAAACGTGCCTTGTGAAACTGATGCAATTTATCTATTTATTGTGATGCTACACGCGACAATTCGAAATTTAAATTGTTTCACCAACAACCAAATTTTGCATATACTGAATTTTCATTTGCATTTGCATTTGCAGCTGTCGCTAAAAGCATCCGCACGAGGCTACTGCTATGCTAAATTTATCTAAAACTATAATTGAAATAGCTGTATAAGATATGTTATGAATAATAAGCACTACGTCGTTACATCATTAAAAGGACGCTTTTATCCCCATCCGTTCCGTATTTTGTCCGCATATTCGCCCCGTGGATCCGCTCCATCCGCTTCCGCATTTTAACCTAATTGTGACATGCTTCACAATAACAAGTCTCATTGACCTTTGACTTTTCCCAGTGTCACGTCTATTTTCAGCTTTTCGCATGTGTTGAATACATTAATGTCACTTTAGATTTCAATAGTTTCACAGTTAAGCAGTGTTTAAATTAAAGCAGGTTTGACAAGCTTTGATACAGTTCTGTGTACAGAATACTACAGATTGATTCTCGTAAGATCTGGTAGAGTTATCGTCGCACTGAACACGAGTTTGCACCGTTGACAACGGCGTTGTGCTAGACAGTAAACAAAGAGAAGGTCCGTGACAGTACACGTTGGCTACATGTACCTCCTCGCTTTTTTCTTCTATTGCATAAAGCTTGTTGGCGAGCCAAGCGATTGGCGATAACACGTTGGCGATAACATTGGCCATCTCCTCGTCTTTCTTATTTAAATAAGGAGCTCTGACTCAACTGATTTCTTTAGTCTCGCAAGTTATTTTCCTCGTAAACGCCGTACAAACGTTTACCCGTTGAATAGTTGTTTATGCTTTATTGATCTGGTACAGATCTGATGCAATTTTTCGCTCTTTGTACTGAGTGTAGCCATCTATTCTGCGATGTAGCACCTTATACAGTCAATGACAATGTATAATGAATACACGGTCTAAATAATATCGATGGACACTTACATATTAATTGATGCCGGTAATGCATAACATAAATTTATATATTGTATTATTGCGTAGAATCTCAACGATTTTTTCAATATTCATGTCTGAAATGTTTATATACTTGAAAACAACACTGTCTCGCTTCTGCCTACGTACTGTACCTCTGTATAATGAGTATGCTGTGAAAATAATATCGGCACTCAATTGAATGCCTACAATCTCAAAGATTTTCGACTCAATATAACAATATTTTAAACGTCTGAAATGTTTGTACACTTGACTGCACTGTCTAGGCGGTCTAACTCCTTCCTAGCTCTGTATAACGAATATACCCTCTAAATATTATCGGAACTTAATTGAACGCCCGTAATGCATAAGATCAATTTATATTTTGCGTAGATTTTCAAAGATTTACTCAATATTCACGTCTGAAATGTTTATACATCTGAAAACTACACTGTCACTCCTTCCTTGCCTTGCATATCGTCACGCCATCGTGATCTACGGCTTGATAGCGCATGCGCATTTGCGCTACTAAAGAAAAAATCGGGTGTTCCGGGGTAAAGATCCTTTACACAACATGAGAAGCGAATGTTCTAAAATTTACAAAAAATTACAATAACGAAAGCGATTCCTCGATATTTTTGTGCACTTGGCAAAAGGATAACAGAATATGTAAATAAGTTAACTGAAATTGCCTAAATAACCTTCAAAGCACTGACTAAGTACGATAAATCACTACGAACATATATCGTATACACCCCCCGGAAAGTTTACTGTATGACTGAATGAATGAATGACTGACTGACTGATTCGTATGAATTTCCCCCCAGTCATCACAATACTGTGAAGTTTCGAAGAAACTTCACACTAAAAACGGCATCATACGTCCATTTGCTTAAACCCTGAAGACAAAGGTGAACTGGCGATGACTTCAAACGTTAATTTAACCCATTTGAGAAATGGAACAAATAAATTGCCTCCTACTACCGTAATTCATCCAATCGTGGTAGTTAAAGTCGGTGGAATGAAATTCCGTGCGTTATTAGACAGTGGCGCCAGATTAGTCGAACGCGCCAGATGTTTCTGCCAGATTAGTCGGTGGCGCCAGATGTTTCTGCCAGATTAGTCGAACTCACGCAAGCAAGTGAAGTTAAAAAGGAAACGCGTAGAATTGCTACATTAATGGGTATTTCCGCTTCCAAATTTTCCCAGTACGATATCCGTCTCTAATCAGTGAAAGGAAATTTCTAACTGGAAGCACGCGTCACGAAAATCGAGAAAAGTGAACTTTTAAGCTTAGAAAATTCCCACAACTACAAGTTAATTAAGAACTATGCTCACTTGCGTGATATCGAATTAGTCGACATGGCTACCAAACAGAAATTACCGGTCCACATGATTTTGGGCGCTAACGAATACGCCAAAATACGCACGTCAATTCAGTCTCGTATTGGTAGACAAGGAGAACCAATCGCTGAGCACACTGGTTTTGGTTGGGCAATAATGGCCCCGGGTTTAGCTAAGTAATGACATCACTGGCTTTCTAGCTGTTAATTCTTCGACAGACTATAAGCGTTTATGCGCTCTAGACGTTCTTAGTTTAGCAACCAGGAATTTCGCGAACAACTTACACGTGATCCTGACGGCGGTTGGTACGAAACGTGTTTGCCTTGGAAAGGTAATCATCCCTCCTGACAACCGTATAGCTAGTCTTCGCCGCCTTCAGTCAGTCGTCAAAAGATTGAAATGCACTAATAAACTCGAAGAATACAACAACATCATCAATGAGCAGCTGGAACAAGGCATAGTTGAATGGGCACCACCTGAACCTGTCGGTCGTGAATATTACATGCCCCATCGTGCAGTGATCAGAGAAAACGTCCAACGCACAAAAATGCGTATCGTGTACGATTGTTCAGCCCGCGCTGAAAAGGGAAGCCCCTCGCTGAACGATTGTCTTGAGACTGGTCCAGCTCTTCAGAACAAGTTATGGGACGACCTTGTCCGCGGTAGATCCCGTCCCGTAATCCTCGCTGCAGACATGAAGAAAGCGTTCCTCCAGGTGCGTATTCGAGAAGAAGATCGCGATGCTCTACGATTCCACTGGCTAAGGAACATTAATTCGAACGAAGTTGTGTCGTTAAGATTTACGCGAGCATTACTTGGGTTTGTGTCTTCTCCGTTTCTGTTAGGAGGAGTGATAGAGCAGCATTTGGCTAATTGGGCGCCGAGATTACCAGATCAAGTTAACGAAATTTCTCGGGATCTTTACGTAGATGATCTTATATCGGGTGCCTCTTCTGTGTCCTCAGCAAGTGATCTGAAGCACGATGCTATCACCATCTTTGAAGATGCTTCGTTTCAGCTCCACAAGTGGAATTCGAATGCTCCTGAGCTTGAGTTGAATCAACCTTCCTCACAAAGTGACACTGACCAAACCTATGCCAAGCAACAATTCCCTCCATCCTCTGAAAGTGGCGGTAAACTCCTTGGTGTGGCTTGGGACAAACGGAACGATACGTTGAGTGTGATTTTCCCCCCAAATCAAGACGTGTCAACAAAAAGAGAAGTTCTTGCAAAGCTGGCGAGTATTTACGATCCACTTGGACTCGCGTCCCCCATCTTGCTCCAAGGAAATCTGATGTATCGCGATTCATGTGAGAGAAAACTACCGTGGGATGGTCCATTGCCAGAGAACTTAGCGAAGCGTTGGAAAACGTGGGAATGTAACCTGCCTCCTATCATATCAACACCCCGGAGTTTGGCTACATATCGTGAACTGATCGAAGCGATAGAGCTGCATTCGTTCGGCGACGCAAGCGGTCATGGAGTTTCTACTGCAGTTTATGCCGTAGTTCCTCAGCCAAGTGGTACAACGCAAAGCCTGGTAGCCGCCAAATCCAGATTAGCGAAGCAAGGTCTCACTATTCCTCGACTGGAGTTGGTTGCTGCACACATGGCAGCAAATATCGTAGATAACTTGCGGCGTGCTCTTGAAGGTTTCCCGGTCGTCTCGGTACACGGTTGGACCGATACCACTGTGGCCTTGCATTGGATCTGTGGAAATGGGGACTACCGTCAGTTCGTAGGGAGTCGCTTTTGAAAGATCCTGGAACACAACATCTACGCGTGGAGACATGTTCCTTCAGGAGAAAATGCCGCAGATTTAGCAAGTCGTGGTGGCTTGGTTAACAACGAACTATGGTGGAACGGACCGTCGTGGTTGTCCAGTCCTGAAATGTGGCCCACGAATCCTGTTTACGAAACCAAGTCCAGAGTCGGCAGCAGAGAGTAAACTAATTCGTGAAGTGATTGCTAACGTGACAGTGAGCGAAAGGGATGAATTTGACGATCTTCTCGAGCGAGGCAACCTGAAGAAAACGTTAAGAGTTTGTGCACTGATGAAGAGATTTCTAGACAAATGTTGTGGTATCCCAGCTGCTAGTGGTCCTCTTACGTCAGTTGAGCTAGAGTCACAGATGGAGTGGTGGATACGACCAGTTCAATCCCGTGCAGAAACCTCGCTGAAGTTTCCGGATGACAAACTCCAACTAAATCTTCAAGCCAACGAACGTGGGATACTCGAGTGCCGTGGTCGAATTCAAGGTCACTACCCTGTATACCTGCCAGATACGAGTTTGTTCACAGAGAAACTAGTTCAACGCGAGCACTGCCATACGATACATGGCGGGGTCGGCCTCACCATGGCTCGTGTCTGTGAAAAATACTGGGTTCCTCGACTGCGGAAACTTGCGAAAAAAGTGATTAAGTCGTGTTGGGGATGCAAACGCTTTCAAGCTCGGGCACTCGCTGTCCCTCCTCCCGGCCTTTTGTCCAAGGGAAGAACTGAGGGCTCTGCGCCCTTTGAAATCGTTGGCGTGGATTTTGCAGGCCTCATTCGTTATCGAAAGTCTCCACGAGTTGTAGGGAAAGCATACTTGGTTCTGTACGCGTGCAGTTTATCAAGGGCCTTGCATCTGGAAATCCTTCCTAATCTCGAGACAACAACCTTTCTGGGCAGTCTTAAGCGTTTGATCGCTCGTCGGGGTCGGCCAGTGAAGATGATATCTGACAACGGTGGTACATTTATCGGGGCTGCGAGATGGCTGAAACAAGTTAGAAAGGACGAGCAGCTTCAAGGCTATTTGGCAGATGAGCAGATTCACTGGAAATTTAATTTAAGTCGTGCCCCTTGGTGGGGTGGACAGTTTGAGAGATTGGTGGAGATCTTGAAGCGTGCCTTTTACAAGTGCGTTGGGGGAGGTACGCTTTCGTGGAATGAGCTTGCGGATGTGGTTCTCGATGTCGAAATTCAATTGAACAGCCGTCCCCTGTCCTACGTAGAAGAAGATATTGACCTTCCTCTCCTAACTCCTTCTGCGTTTATTTACCAACGGACGAGTCGTCTTCCCGAGCAGGAACCTTGGCGAGAAGAAGATGCGAATCTTCGTAAGCGAGCAAAGCACTTACGCTCATGTAAGAACGCACTATGGAAACGCTGGACTGGGGAGTATTTGAAGGCATTACGTGAACGGCACAACAGCAATCGGAAAGAAAAGTTCATTTCTCCCGCGGTCGGTGACGTAGTTATCGTGCGTAGCGACGAAAAGAATCGAGGGAAGTGGCCACTCGGTGTCGTAGAAGAGTTATTCCTTGGACGTGACGGGATCGTTCGAGCAGTCAACTTGGGTTGCGGAAGATCTCACCTAGAACGAGCGGTCCAACATCTCTATCCTCTCGAGTTAAAGTGCGAGGCGAAGAAACCGTCGAAGGACGTCAAACTAGATCCTGAAGCTAAGTCATTTCGTCCGAAGCGAGATGCAGCAGTGGCTGCAGAATTAAGAGTGGAAGAACTTGCCCAAGAGGACAATTGAGTATCTTTTTTGATAGTGTTCTAGCTTGTTTACTAACTAGTCTATTGTATTTAAATCGTAGAACGTGTTTTGTTCCTCAGTCGAAAGAACTGATTACTGATAATTCATTGGACGACAGCTGTACGATCATCGATCCATGCTCCAAACAGATCTCCTCTCGTTTCAATGTTAGGGTATCGTTTAACCCATTCCTCAATCTGATATTTTTCTCCGTCATTCATGTAAATAGTAAACGCTCTTTCACCATGAGAGCTGTACCGATAATAACTAGTCATGTTATTGCAACGAATGTAGCACACTGCCTTATTTCACTTTACTGTGATATAAACTTCGCTGAATTTTATTGTTTTCGGATTCCGCGAAGTTGCTGACTCTTACAGGCTGCTCCATTTACTGTTCTAGAACATTTGGAACACTATTCTAGAACGATACGAAATGGAGTGCATCGGTGTTCTGAAACAGTGTTTAGTTTATTATATTTGCGTGCAACCATGCATTACTATTATTCATTAGTTTTTCGCATAATAAATCGTATAATGATTTGTTGTTATTTGTACATCTAAGTATGCTTTTATAAGGTTTTTACTCGTTAATTTTGCCCGGCCCTGGCGTTTAAATAGCATATAATAAGTATATGTTGATATATAGCGGTTAACCCTTCAAACTAACACTCTATGCAGTGTGTATTGGATACCAGGTTGGATCACAAAATCTGTCGCCTCCATTTACAAACACGTGAAAATGTGCAGTGTCACGTGTCTGATTTGGCTGCCCCTACTCGAAAATCGGGGTAGTGAGAACACAGGAGGCTCAGGCTCTATTTGCCCGCGTCCGCCTGCGACTTCCTTATAACGAGGGAAGGAAGGAAACAATGAAACATTGAGACCAAAATAGCCCAGACTTGGCATATGTCACACAAAACTATCCTCGATTTTCCGCCTAATTTAAGGTGGCTCCCTAGGGTTTTATTTCCGGGGGTTACGTTCTTCGTATATATGTAAACTAAAACTCGTGTGACTTCAAAATACGAACGAACGTTGTGTTTTATATGGAACTCTTTTTTGAAACAAAAGTGTGAACTTTGCTTTAGTTGAAAGCATAAAAAGAGTTCTAAAAGCCAAAACGATACTTGGATGTGATGTTTCAAAAGAAGATAATGTAAACTTGTTTTTTTCAAGCGGTATTCTGGAAGTTTTTTGAACCGCCGTACGCGAGGTTCGATCGCGAACATTGGGATATGATATAAAGTTTCCTCAAGAATTTGCAGTGTTTTCTCCCACAATCTAGCAGCACTTATGACAATAAAGATGACTTAAATAATGAGCCCTCTACGGGTGTAATGAGCAGGGCCGAAACTCGAAACATACCAATATAAAAACTGAAATTTGAACGGGCATTTTGCGAAAACATCCGACGAAAGTACTAACTCGCACGGGTCGAATTTTGATAAACATTTTTCAAATTAATACCAAGAAGTCATAACCAGTAATTACCTAAATATCTTTGCCAATTTTACATGTATAATCCACGCTTAGTTGACCATTAACCGACACAGTTATAAACAGTATATCAAACATAATTTATATTTTGTGATTTCAAAAAAGTCATGCCTTGTTGTTTTATGCAGAATGCATGTACACGTCAATTGGGGTATTACATTGTTCGCGTAAAGCCCGTTCTCCACTACGCGAATTTGTTCGCGCGACGCGAAGCGAAAACCGAAATCCGGCAACGTGATTGGTCGGCGAAAAAATTCGCGGCGAAAAAGTAGGATCGCTTCCTACTTTTTATCTGTTCGCGCGAATAAAATCGCCTAGTGGAGAACGGGCTTAAAAATCTAGTAAAAATAGCGAAAATGAAACCCAAATTTCTCTGTTTTCCTTCGGTGAAATTTTTTAAAACTTTGCACATTTTTTAATATCGGCACAACAAGTGCAATATCTTTTTTCCTTAAAATTAAATCGAAGGGAAAATTTTTAATATTGATTTTTGACGTTTTTTAAATTTTCTAAGAAACGTATCGATTTAATTTTTTTAAATTGAGAGAAAAAAATCATTATACAAGTATTATCTTTTATGCAAAGTTTTAAAAAATTTCACCGAAGGGAATTTTTAAAATGACCTGAAAAAGACAAATTTTGAGCTTTATTCTAAGCATGCTGTTGCCATGACAACAGATTTTTAGTAGCAATTTGCAATGTTCAGGAGAACATTGTCAAGGTGTCCAATAAATTTCGTTTTCATGTCATGTAAAGTAAAGAAACAGGAGTCTCCTGAATACTATAGTGTAGTAAATTAAAAAACCCTAGGGAGCCACCTTAATGCATTTCTTTCAAGATTAATCGATATCCCCTGCAGACAACTCTCAAGACAAAGCTGCTTTAATGAAAGAGCTTAAATTCGCTCTAAAATCCGTGAGGGAATAGCAAAATTCGGCCAAAATATATCCGCGTGCCAGGTTTGCTGTGCAAAAAAACCCGGAAGTCGTTGAACAACTCAATCAACAAAATTTCAACTTTTTCTCTACTGGGAGGGGGGACAGTACCACAGTGACAGTACTGTAATAATTTGAATCAAAACAATTCACAAACGTTATATTATACAAGTCGATTATATGTGTTACTGCATGTAAACATAACTGTTAGTACGTTAATATGTATAATAAATTCGTATTTCAAATTGTGTCAGTGGAGAAAAAAATTGAAACTTTTGTTCATATTCGTTGTCCAATCAGGGTTGAGTGTATTTTGAGTTGTTCAACGACTTCCGCTTTTTGCACAACAAACCTGGCCGAATTTGTCATTCCCTCATGGATGTTAGAGCGAATTTAAGCTCTTCCATTAAAGCATCGTTGTTTTGAGAGTTATACGGTATCATTCTTGCAGGGGATATCGATTAATCTTGAAAGAAATGCATTAAAGGCGAAAAATCGAGGATAGTTTTGTGTGGCATATGCCAGGTCAGGGCTATTTTGATCTCAATGTTTCCTTCCCTCGTTATAAGGAAGGCACAGGCTGCCGCGGGCAAATAGAGCCTGGGTCTCCTGTAGTCAGAACAGTTCAGAACGGTCACGTGATACCGGAGTACTCCGGACAGTAAATGGAGCAGCTTGCTAGGGATTGGCCCGTTTCGATACCAAATATTCGATACTATCGATACCTAGCCTCTTCCGCATGCATATCGTGGTACTTAGTTCAGAATGTCGGTGAGATGCTAGCCAACCTCGTTCCTAGGTTCTTCCCTCTTGGAGGAAAGATCCTGGTCGGGGCTGGTCACGTGAGCCATAGAAAATTGATAGTCTAAGAGGGGGATGTAAAAGTCTCATATTACATGTTTCCACTTCCGCACTTGACACTTCGATTGCAAGGAGTGGCCGCTCTGTACAATCATCTTTGAGAATCATATATACTTCAGAATACTTTCTATATTCTTACAATATGTCATTGAATTGTTGTCATATGGAAACGGAATAAATGTTGTTAAATAGAGGTCTCAAAAACGACTGTGTAGGTCGTAGCGTAGAGCCTTGCTGGTCTTACATTACACATAGACATTGAATATCCATTCTATAATATTGATTCTAAAACTTTTTATAGACATACTGACATATAGTGCTCTGGATGTTTAAAAAAAGGTTATCATCGTTTATAGAGGGCCCCTATACTTTTTGCGTGAAGCGTGAAGGGCTTGTTTTACTTAACCGTGAAACGTGATCAGGCCCCCTATACTTTTTGCGTGAAGCGTGAAGGGCTTATTTTACTTAGCCGTGAAACGTGATCGATGATTTTCTTAATCTGTGACTCGTGAAAAGGCAAAATATTTTTACGTGAAAGCATATTGTGAAGAGGTATAGGGGGCCCTCTTTATATTAAATATCAAGTAGGAAGGAGTGTTAACGTACAAAATTAGAACAATGATATCCTAAGATACTGTACGATATCCTAAGATACTGTATGATATTCTAAGATACTGTATGATACCCTAAGATACTGCATGATATCATAAGATGTTGATATCTTTAGATACTGATATCCTAAAGCCGCGTTCACACCAGCGGCCCAGGCCTGGCCTGAACCTGGCCTTGACTTGGCCTGGGCCAATTGTGACGCATTCACACTGGCTGGACGCCCAACTCCAGGCCAAAGCAATCAGGCGTCAATATAAACGTCTTTGTGTTCCACTAAAGTATTTAATTTCGCGCTTTGAATGTTTTTCCCTCCAATTGTATGACCATCATCTGACCAGTTTTTATCGTGAGCATATATTGCGATGGTAACGGGGCCTCGCCCTGGCCAGCCCCAGGAAAAACCCGTTCACACCAGTGATGATCGAGGCCCAGGCCAGGCCAAGGCCAGGCCAAGGCCAGGTCCAGGCCACCTACATTTGCTGGCCTGGATTTCTTGACTTAGGCCAGGCCTAGGCCAGGCTCAGGCCAGGTAAAACCCGTTCACACCTAGACCCAGGCCAGGTCCAGGCCAGGCCTGGGCCGCTAGTGTGAACGCGGCTTAAGATACTGATATCGTAAGATACTGATATCGTATCCTTATCTTTATCCTTATCCTTGTCTTCCTTATCTTTATCCCCATCTTAATCTTTATGTTTCTTATCCTTATCTTTATCCTTATCCTTATCTTCCTTATCTTTTTTCCCATCTTAATCTTTATGTTCCTTATCCTTATCCTAATCTTTATGTTCCTTATCCTTATCTTTATCTTCATGTTCATTATCATTATCTTTATCTTTATCCTCTTATCTTTGTCCTTATCTTTATCTTCTTATCTTTATCTTCTTATCTTTATCTTCTTATCTTCCTTATCCTCACAGAAGCTTCACAGAAGCTTCACAGAAGCTTCACAGAAGCTTTACAGAAGCTTCACAGAAGCTTTACAGAAGCTTCACAGAAGCTTCACAGAAGCTTTACAGAAGCTTCTCAGAAGCTTCACAGAAGCTTTACAGAAGCTTCACAGAAGCATTACAGAAGCTTCTGTGAAGCTTCTGTGAAGCTTCTGTGAGGATAAGGAAGATAAAGATAATAAGATAAAGATAATAAGATAAAAAGATAAAGATAAGAAGATAAAGATAAGAAGATAAAGATAAGAAGATAAAGATAAGAAGATAAAGATAAGGATAAAGATAAGAGGATAAAGATAAAGATAATGATAAGGAACATGAAGATAAAGATAAGGATAAGGAACATAAAGATTAGGGTAAGGATAAGGATAAGGATAAGGAACATAAAGATTAAGATAGGGATAAAGATAAGGAAGACAAGGATAAGGATAAAGATAAGGATAAGGAACATAAAGATTAAGATAGGGATAAAGATAAGGAAGACAAGGATAAGGATAAAGATAAGGATAAGATATCAGTATCTTACGATATCAGTATCTTAGGATATCAGTATCTAAAGATATCAACATGTTATGATATCATGCAGTATCTTAGGGTATCATACAGTATCTTAGAATATCATACAGTATCTTAGGATATCGTACAGTATCTTAGGATATCATTGTTCTTAGGATATCAATATCTTAGGATATCAATATCTTAGGATATAAGATATCAGTATCCTAGGATATCAGTATCTTAGGATATCAATAGCTTAGGATATCATTCAGTAACGTAGGATATCATTCAGTATCTTAGGATATCATACAATATCTTAGGATATCAATATCTTAGGATATCAATATCTTAGGATATCAATATCTTAGGATATCAATATCTTAGGATATCAATATCTTAGGATATCAATATCTTAGGATATCAATATCTTAGGATATCAATATCTTAGGATGATAGACAAGAATATGAGAACTCTTTAAAAATAACAAAAACACCTAGACGTTACGCTCTTAGAAGTAGACCTTACTAAATTTTGTAAAACGTTTTGAAGAAATAAATGTATTTAAAAACTAAAATATTGTGTAAATTTTTGCCGGCAAAGCCCGCTCTTTCCGCCCGCGCAAACCGCCCGCCTGATTAGTGTACAAATATGTTGTACGTTAATATATGCATGTACCCGCAAAGCCACGCGCCTGATTTTAAGATATACACCTGCGTTAAAAATAATCCCTATCTATCCATCGGGATACACTTAGTTATGCAAATTCGTATTGCCTTAATCCCCTTAATTACCTACACACCTCCTAATGACTTAGCAACGCATAAACAACGCAAATTTGCAAAGCTTAAAACATGTTTATTGATACAAATAACAGATGATAGTGTCAAAAAATATTACAACTGTTCTAATTCTAACTTCTACTCTTGATAAGCTTTCTTATGATCATCTTAACAGTATGTATGTATGTAGGAGGATTGCTAAATAATGTTGAACAACATGCAAATATTGACCTTAACAACGACGTTGACAACCCGGGATTAGCAACTGTTTAGTTTAAAATATGTCTTGATTTTTGTGACGAATAGATTCCTCGATATGGAATATACGAAAAGTCCTTCAATATACTCGTGGAAATTTATCAATTCCTAGCAAAGATACGACTATAACTGCTATATATTAATTTCGATAACAATTTTACCTTGTGAGGGACTCGAGCTATTCAGAGCAAGCCAATAATAAGCCCCCTATTGTATCACACACGTGGGGGAACGCTAAAAAATGCGTAGTCAGCAAGTTTCCCACGTCCTTGTTTAAACCTGCCCGCGTGACGTCATTGCATATAATTATGACGTATGCTAATGAGTGACGTCATTACGCACCCTCCCTCCACCACACTCCACCACAAAAATAAGGAGTGACGTCATTACGCATCCTCCCTCCACTACACTCCACCACACTCCACCACAAAAATAAGGCCCGTACGTCATTACGCATCCTCCCTCCACCACACTCCACCACACTCCACCACAAAAATAAGGGTCGAACGGTACCTATATTACAACTTATATGTGTATGGAGGTATCCAGTTAACTTTTCAGTACACTATAATATATATTACATAACGTTTACTATACTGGTGCGCGAAACATGGAACGATTAGAAACACAGTGACTGAAATTTACACACAATCCAGTTTGAAAATAACCTAGAAGATGCCTGTCAACAGCCGCGATCTGGAATTACCTGGTATGGAAAGGCCCAGGTTTTACCAAAGTATAAATAATCAGTTGCGCGAGGTTCAAAAACAACAAGAAGTTAAGGGGGAACCAACAGACTTCGAACACAATTACATTTGACACAGGTTGTCTTCCATGTTGGTTTGTCGACCCTATTGGTCAACATGTCGTTTCTTATTTGTACATCGACTTGGTATGTTATGTTAATATTACCATAGAGCCTTAGAGTAACAAAGAGAACGAAAAGAACAATACACAATAGTAGCAAAAACAACATTTACAAAACCAAGAACAGAAAAGAACATTTATGGATAAACCTAAAACTAGTAAATAAACCAAAATTGTATTCAGTATACTAAACAATGAATATACTCTCATTTACACAAAAATGTTTCGCATTTACAACTACAATATGTACATATATACCGATGGTTACTGATATAACCTATTTTCACCCATGCCCTGGGCTAGCTCGTAGTTTCACCCTCCCCCCTTCCTCATACGTATCGAAATATACAATCAGTTCCACCCCCCCTCCTCCAGCCCGCTAACGCACACTTTAGGTATGTACGGATCTTAATATTGCATAGCAGTGTTATCAAGATCATGAAGCATGTAGTTTAGTTGTTGACAGGGCCGGCAATAAGTCGCGTTTCTCTCCACGAAAGTTCTATCACATCGTCACAAAGTTTTTGCGAGTTTAGCATAGCTTCATTTTAAACCGTCGTACATCTTCGGCGGTTTCCGAATACCGTAACGTCTCTGGAACGTTGAAGCGTTGAAGCAAGCTACCTTTCTGATTGGTTCTGGAAGGACTGTAAGGCGGAGGCTCTATATAAACTGGAGTATTCCAGGACCTACGATTGTCTCTAACGGTAATTCGGGTAGGAGGAAGGTAAAGCGGTACGTTGAGGGTCATTTGAGTGCATTTGGGGATCCTTACTAGGACTCAGTTCCAAATTATCGTAAATAGAGCAACGTCAAATGTCAGTATTTCGTAAACTTCTAATATAACAGATATAATAAAAGAACAAAATTCACTTCGCTCTTTCAAAAATCCGTTATATAACAACAATTCATATTATTGTCATGACTGGTAAATTGAAATTGGTTTGAATACTTTATTAATGTTCTGTAAAATTTCAATTTTCCATGACTTTCCATGACTAAAATTGATTTTCCATGATTTCCAGGCCTGAATTTTCGAATATTGAAATTCCGTGACTTTCCAGGTTTTCTAGGACCCGTACGAACCCTGATTTATGCGCATGCACGAGGTAACTGCTCACATTAACTGGATTCGTACATGTCTGAACAAAGAATGACTTTCTACGATATATTTTAGCAAATCTGTGAATTGGTGGTTGAACGAATGCTATAGAAATGCTTAAACTCACCTGTCTGGGGTCGAGGGAAATAGCCTGTAAAAGAGGAAGTCGCCTGTGGTTGATGGCGCTTAATACCTCCCTCTCCCTCCCTCTCCCTCCCTCTTCCTCCCTCTGTCTCCCTCCCTCCCTCTCTCTCCCTCTCCCTCCCTCTCCCTCCCTCTCCCTTCCTCCCCTTGCCTCCCTCCCTCCCTCTCCATTCCTCTCTCCCTTCCTCCCTCCCTCTCCCTTCTTCTCCCTCCCTCCATCCCCCTACCTCATTC